GGGTCTAGCAGAAGATAACGGTTGGAGACGGGGAGTGAGGAAGGGGTCGAGAAATAGAAAAATGGATGACATGATTTATGGATGGCCCTGAAGATAGGTGCAAGACAAGTCCAAAATCGCATCTTTATCAGGGCATATCCATCAATCAGATTCTCCGTCAATTTGAGGGGTTACACGTTGAGGACCTATAATTCCTGGTGCGATGTTTATAGGAACATGATGCATGATGCCTGAGCATGATGATTCAAACAATGCGATGACTGGTTGCAGCAATCTTACCAAAACCGTAACAATCCGATAGTTGGTGACAGCTGAGAAATTGGCCAATGCATGTGCATCTTTGATCAGGATGGGAGAATGTAGCGAGGATTTCCATGAGCCGACGGTTTCTGCGCTGATACTTTGTCCGTTGATCACCGTGACTTTGTCCAGTTTCATGACGAACTCCTCAAAACTGTGACCGTTGGTCTCAATCACGAACGGAGCGTACAAAGGACGCTCCGAGACCTTAAATACGAGAAATCATATACAGCAGTACATATCAGTATTAAAACTGGCAGAAAACGGTAAAAATTAAAGTGATTATGTTTTTTTTACATAAATTTTATACATTATCAATGAGAATCATTAACTCAAGTCTGCTAAGTCGGTTATCATCTTGCAGAAATCTCTTAAGATAATTTATTTTACATATATCAATACGTATAAATATAAATTAGTGAATGTGGAACAAATTCAAAGAACTAATCAAGGAAAACTGTCGACTAATGTATCTATAAGAAATAAAACATGAGCAGAGACTTGCAGCATCACAATCGGAGCAACGCATTTTCCGACTTCAAGCACTGCAGTTCTAAAAAAACTGCAATGAACAACAGACTTCTTCGCACGAGGCCAGTCTAACTTGTATGACCGGCCTCAATGTTTATTTCATGTATTGGAAATATTATATCGCATGACAGCCAAAATCTGAGGTCAGATTCGGATTCCTCGTTGAAAATCAATTGGAAACCATGTATGAAACGTCAGAATCGCATGAGGGGAAGGGTATGTACCGGTTCCTACACATCGACGTGGGTGGTCACTGGGTCAGGAGTGGAGGAAACAGATTAGAGACATCAGTTCTCGGAAACGAAACCGAATTCTCTCGGTGGTGGCGCTTCCGCAAATTCCAAAGCGCGGCACAAAGGAATTCGAGGGCGCATCAGACAGAGTGGCGACAGGTCTGTGGCGCGCGCCGCGCGATGTGAGTTGCGGGAGGGGAGGGATAACTCGGCGCGACTTGTGGTTCACCGCTGCGCCGCTAGATCGCGTTGATCATCAGATAGTGCAAGTGCATACATTCGCATCTTTCCTGGACGATAATACGGGAGGTTTAGCATACAGTTTTTTATATTTAACTTCTGAAATGTTCTTTAAGCCTCGTGCCTTATTGGCTATTATTTTCAGAATGGTTAAAAAGACATGGCTAAAAGCTGAGCTTCATCTCTCAAATCATCAGCGCTGGCAAATCACAGGGCGCCGTAAAAAATTATATATGCTACAGAGACTCCATGCTCGACGACGTATGCACCGAGTTGCACCAATTTTTGTGGGTGATCTGCTGCCGTGAGGACTTCAGGTGGGAAAACTCAGTACAGAAAACCGGGACAGTCCTTGAGCCAATAATTGGGTGACACTATTCCCGATTCGGTGTTTGGTCTTCTAACCTTTTATTCGTTCGATGAATCCAGGTGCAAACCAAAGTTGAGTAGTATAAAATCCATTGAATATTTTGGTAATTTATCATATACTTCTTGACACATTCTAATGTGAAATTTCACTTTTGTCCATTTAATCTCATTTTCGTCCCACTGATTAATTCTTTATTTTGCAACCCGCTCCGACGAATTTTACTGAACCGACTCAAATAGCACTGTCATCTCAAGTATAACAATGGCCCGGTAAAGAGGAAAATAATGTTTCGGATTTCTCAAGGGTTTGCAAAGAATCAGAAGAAAAGCAAATATTTTTTAGGCTTTTCAAACAAATATTCTGCTTCTGATTAAAGAAAAGTCAGTGTTTTTTGGAGTTCAATTGGTTTCTTATTTTTAGGATTTTAGGAGGCATTATGTATCATTTACATGTAAAAATTTACAGGGATGTAAAAGTCAATGTGAAAAGGTCTCATAGAATGAAGTTGAAGGCTTCTCTTTGTCGTTGTCGGAATGTGAAAGTCTCAACCACTCAAAATGCCTTCAATTCCTCGAGCATGCAATTCGCGCTCCGGAACGGCAAAATAGTTGCATGCAGCGCCGCGCCGTAGCATGCATACTTCTACAAATGGACACTCCCACATCATTTCAATCATCGTCTCACATTTCAATCCGAACTATTCATGCATGTATTGTATTCCCTATATCGTCCAAGTTATCAATAATACCATTAAAATTGATTTTGTCACTGTCTGAAGGCAAAGACAAAGAGGTAGAGGACGACCGTCTTAAAAGTTCGTTTTTCGAAATCATACCTGACGAAGATGTCTCCTCAAATCCAAGTCAACGCGAATGGGCACATTATCGCTGTTGTACTCCTCACAAGTTATGTAGGTGATATTCTTCGGCCATTCGCCACTTGTCAACATGGATCTGGAATCGAAAAAAGATGTAAATGTAGTATTAAAACCAGTTTGAAGTCAGTTTGATGGATCATTGAAAAATAATGCATAGATACGTCAAAAGTTTAGCGAATGCAGACCAGCACAGCATGATTAATGAAATTGATAGACAAAAAGATAGACACACGTGACAAAGGGGGAAATGAAGCGATCCTATTGGTGGAAGTGGATGATCGCGATGGATCACTTAAGTCATAGACTAACTAACAGCTACTCACGAAAGACCCTATAGTTAGTCAATCATTTTCCCTCTTAGTCTATCAACCACCCATATTTCAGTCGACGAAATCGGAGCCCTTTTTTGTGTATCGTATTGTCCATCAATTTCAATGCTCAGCCCACTGAAGTGTTGCACTCGCATTCTTTGATTAGGCTCATTATTTATTTATTTTTGTCATTTTCTTACGTTATTACTCCCCTTTTTGATAAAGTGACGTGAATTTTTCTTTATGGAGAAATTATACCTTGATTTACATTTATATGTAATTGTTATATTTTACAGAGAAGTACTGAAATGATCATATTTAGAAGAAGGAGGGCTTCATAATGTTTTCCGTCCATTCCATGACTAATAAGCTCTCCATAGATTACGTTTTTCAATGTTTGTCTCGTTTTCTCCTTTTAAGGGGATTTTATTTATTCTATTCGTCAATTGACTACCTCATTTTTTTAGTTTATTTTAACCATGAGAACAGTTCCATCAAGACCGAACTTTTCTTGATTGCTTCCTGTGGAAATAGCATACAAGGCGTTTCAAATTTTGAAGCAAGCATGCGCAATTTTTCAAGCGAATTTGAGCTTTTTTGGTTTATGTGACAAAAGTTCGGCATAGTTTAAAATTTCAGCCATGAACTCGAACTGCACCTCAGCTTGGCGGAACGAATGCTTCATAGAATTCCTTCCCGATCACACGACGCAGTTTAAAAGACTGTACATTACTATTTTTTAGATTTTGCAATATATTTTTCCAGTTAAAATAATGCGGTAGGTCAACTATACAATCCTTACTTCATCGCCAAGAGTGATCGGACAGCCAAATCGAGGTAGAATGTAGCAGTGATTTCTGGTTCGGAAGTGAAGCTGTACGTGGTTCTCAGATTAGACAGTCGCTCTTTATTTTCAGGGCTCGGTTCCGGTTTGACGAGAATGATAGTAGCGTTTGAGCATCCGCAACGTAGTGATCCTTTATCCTGAAAAAAAAATTCATTCACACTTGCGTGATAGAAAATAAATGTAAAGGGTTCGGGGCTTTTTTAAAAACCTGCAAGATTTTTTGCGTGTGCTTTTTTTTTAATTAAGCAAAAAAACATCCGTTGCATGGCCACTCTGATGTCACTGCACCCACCTGAATTCTTTTCTTCTTAACCGCGGTGTAAATAACTGTGAGGAGAAGCCCCCCCCCCTCCCCCACTAGGCTCTCTAATCACACTGGAGCATTATTTGAAGGGTTTATGATCCCCCTGGCCCTTATGCTTCTTATTCTTAGTATTATCTATTTTATGAAATCATCCAATTCATGCGGTGCGGGAGAGGATGGGATATGACTATACCGAGTGTATGACATACAAGAAAGTCACAACCGCATTTGTGTCGAACCTTTTGATTGGTTGGGGTTTCTTTTAAAGCTACTAGGTCATAAGATAATTGAAAAAAAAGGAAAAATTGAGAGACGCCGTTACTTCTCGATGCGCAGTGAACTACATCTACAAGAAAATAGCGCTAGTGCCATATTTCAGAAAATGAGTTTCCACCATTACCTGTGTGATGGCGTACCAGGCGTACTTCCTTCCGAAAAACTTTTGTGCGTTGGCATTGTCGAGGACGGTTTTTATGGTAGTAAGACGGCCCAAGATGAAGTAGTTGACGATGTCCAAGTCTCGAAATTGGGTTAGCTGTCGGCGAATACTTTTGACGTCCTCCACTCGAGCGATAATGTGGCGGGTTGGAATGTTTTGAAGCAGGGATTTGTATTTGTGCTCCATCACTAAAGTAGGAATACATATACTATTTTAGTAGTGAAAGTGTTGCTTCCATGCACTGAACTATGGAAGAACAGGGGGACCTGCTCCCCACAATTCAATTCAACCCCCCTTTTTTCTTCTTTTTTTTGAACAATGCCTGATTTAGGTAACTTTGGATTGCGCGTGTGTGCCCAAATACCGAGCACCAAGGTAAAGTTCAAATATCTCCACTTTACGAAAAATTAACGTCTGGCAAAAAAGTTCCAACTAAAATGAAAACTAGGAACGGATACAGCGCTAGAGTATTTCAAGAAAACGAGGACTGTCACTTTTCAAATTTGAACATTCGCCTGGGTAAAGAAAATGAATTTTTGACCCCTTCTATCTACTTTCAAAATATTTGTCATTGACACCCTTTCAAAATCATTCACACTATACTTAACTATACCACCTCTTTATCATCATACTGAAAAAATGCGCATCTGACATAGGTAGGTAGCTCCTCTTTCAATTAAAGATGAAGAAATAATGATCAATGATGAAATAAAGAATCTTCCCTCTTTTTATCACCTAGATCTGCCTTCTAGCCTATTAGCTTTGTGAGCATTCACATGCCGGCGAGTTTTGTAAACTACATTTGCAAATGCTGTGATATCAGATGATATATTTTTTTACATACTTTTCCTGGTATTGTTAACTCACCGAATGAGTCGTCGTACAATATTCCAGTGTCCGTGATATTTTGTGCCACCACAATACTTCTGATCACCTCTGGAATCATGTCAGCCGGTGGGTTGACTTGGATTAGATATTTCAGTTGTTCCCCGTCCAAATTCTTCCATTGTCTGTAAGGCAATAAACACCAGAATAAAATTCGAGTACTTATAACTGGATTACATTTTGCAATTTGGACCTATAGATTCTAGCCCGGTTTAAAAACAACGTATGTGCCATTAGTTTCCCTATGCACATAAGTGTCTTTCCAGAAGAGCCAGAATTTATAGTTCCAAATTTCAAAATGCAGTCCAACTGTTCGTGCAGCTTTTGTGTGACCTCGATGATCTGTTTCTGGTCTGTGGCTTGTATGCCTATGCATGAACATTGAGGAAATACTTATATTGACGGCGAGACCTCGAAATCACGTATCTTGCTTTGTGACGTTGCAAAATTCCTGTATTATATTATTTTTTAAATGGAAAATTACGCAACAGCAATTCTCAAAAACCGCCGTGATTTTTCTTCAAAGCGCGAAGGAAATTCCGTAAAAACTTCAAAAAATACTGCTGAGTAGTTTGTCTTTAAAGAAATAAAATAGGAGTGAAGGTTTTTAAACATTTCAAACGAGATACGTGGTTTGGAATTTTCACCATAGATATATGAGATACTTATATAGACTGCAATATACCCTTGGAAGATTAAGTTCTTCAAGAGAGGGCTCTTTCTCCAGAAGTCCGTTATGGAAAACCTGTTACTTTTTGATACATTTTTACGAGTAAAAGATGTTGCTCAAAAGAAGCAGCAAACTCATGAATTGAAAATTTATTTTAAGGAAGCCACCGGAAATCAACGGAATCCAAGGAAATGGCAAAATATGACAGATCACATGTCGATGATGAGACTAGAAAAAAACATAGGTCGATCATAGTTTTTCAGAATTTTTCCTTATATTTCATTTTTTTTTTTTTTTTTTAGTATTTCACCAGACATTTTTTTCACAAACTTTTTAAAAATTATTGAAAACTCCGCAAAACAAACCATGGCGATGACTGGTCGTCCTCCGAATAAGTAATGCATTTTGATGAAAAAATCACATCGTTGCAAACCAAGGAGCGTCATTTTCTATAGTTTCGTGTTGTTTTACTTTCAGTATCAATAAAAGTATTGAATGATGGTTAAATTTTACTCGCTTCAGCAGATTTTGCAATAAATGCTTTGGAAAAAAATGTAAGAATATTTTTTTTCTTCTCTTACTTTTAATGTGATGTATTGTAGTTAGATCCTGACAAATTATTTACGTGGCAAAATTTCGTTAGACAATGCGGTATATAAATATTTATTTATACCTCGCTTCGCATGCTCCAATTGTACGTATTCAAATCAAAAGGAACTATCTCCATCGTGATCTGGTCTCTGATTGTGAGACCCATAAGAATACATATATGACGACTCACGTCATAGTTAAGATGGTTCCTTATGATTTAAATACGTCCAATTGTCCTATGCTCACCTGACATCACCGTCCTGCCCAAAAGATGCGCTGATTGTAGGAATTCCCAATGCCGCTGTGAAAGTTTTGACTGCCTCAGATGGAATGCCACTCATGGTGAAATCAATCAGGATATGTGGCGGTTTCCCATCCTTCACAGACGCGTTGTATGTAGCGCATACTGAAAACATGAGATTGAAATTATTAATATCACCTGGCTTGATCTGCGAAGTAGGTGAGTAAAATTATGCACCATAGAAATGAAAATAATGTAATACAGGATTGTTAGATTTTATCATTTTTCTGGTTGATTTTGATGCCCAAAAAGATTCGTAAAACTGATTGATTAGATTTTTTTCACAGTTCATCAGTTTTTAGCTAACTGTAACAGAAGAGTGGTCTATATTTGAACCAAATTTCTTAATTGAATCCAAAGTCAGCCAGGACCAGGGTTAAATATTTTTGCCATCTCTCTCTCTCTCTCTTTTTGTGTGTGCAAAACTTTGAAAAGACTCAAATTTAAGACGCACGGACGAGGTAATATGACATTATCAGGTCATACAACTCATCGATGAAAATCCTGTAACTAGTAAAGCTCTCTACAAATAACTCAACTTATATTATCAAGCTCGATATGACCATTTTGACACTGCTGTTTGGTGGGGTTGCATGTTTGTCATTTCGAAGGCGAATTTAGGAACTCCAATTCAGTTTACAGACGGAAGCTGTGCGAACCTGGCGAGGATGAGACAGAGGCGGATCCAGCAATTTGGCAACATCGAATTTTCTCTGTTTAAACCCATGTTAAAAAATCGATGCTTGTCGGAGCACCTGACCCCTACTAGACTCAATACATTGCCATACGTTTAAATTGGAGAAAAAACAATGTTACCAATTTGCTGGGGCCGTTCTTAATAAATAAGACGAGTAGAGGAAGGCTACTCGTATACTCACAATTTTCCAGAATGACTTCTGCATCCTGTGTGGCAATGGAAACAGGGTAGTTACCGCCAATGTGGATACCAAGTCTCGGATTCCGACGGATGTAGTTCAGAGCCACCTCCATGGCCTTGGAACCGATCAGATTACTCTCTTCATTGACAAACACTGAAAAAGAATGCATCGAAAAGATTCAGAACTGTTACTGGGATAGTTCAATAGTTGGCTTCCATACTTTCTGTCGCATATCTACATAGTCTATACCCAGAATGATAAAAGAAATATCGACGGTGAAACTCCCAAACCACGAATCTCGTTTGCGGTGTCTAAAAATCTCCCTTTCTGTTTTACTTTTTTAAAGGAGAAAAAATCTACATTACTCCTCGAAGGTTTCTCAGAATTTGCCTCGCACAGAGAAAAAAAGTTACAGATGTTTTTAAGAACGGACGTTGAGTAGTTCTCCATTTAAAAAATAAAGTATAACAGAGAGTCTGCAACGTTTCAAACCGTGATTTGGTGGTTTTACCATCCATATGCGTCGATGTCGTGGAAACATCTCTATTGGTCTATATTAACGCATCCATATAAAAGAATTGTATTTTTGGAATCCATATGATTTCCCTTTGAAATTCGTCAGTGTGGAAATATCAGTATAGAAAACCCGCATGGATGTATGCGTCGCAGTCAATTACCAATCGCCGGGGATCTGCGTGTTAAGTAATGTGGTCCACGTGTTGTCTCGATAAATGGTATCGGTAGAGTAACGGTTTGATAGGTAATGGTTTTTAAAAGCATGATCTCGGTTTGGAGCGCCTTCATTTTTTGTGATACTTTACGCCTTGCCACGGAGTTAGTTTAGTTGCGTGTGCGATCTAAACCTAACTGAAGGATCAAGGAGTTCACTAAACATTATGTGTGTGGCGAACAAACTAAATGTGTTTGCTACTACACTACCATGTTTTTACGAAGAAAAAAATTCTATTCACACTGAGGACAAAATAACCGCTGCGCAATTCGTGTTCCTTTATTCCTCAATATTATGTTGTGTTATTTTCTACCTATTCTTTAAAAGCTTATAAATTGCCGACGATTGGAAATTTCCTGCGATACATCCATTTGGATTCCATTTAGGCATGGAGCCATGACATTTTCGTGGAGGAGGTCTCTATACGGATGAAATTTTGAGGAATAGAAAATTAAAGGTGGATTTTCGTATGGATTCAATATTGATTACATTCCCTTACGGCGCTAAGGCATCAGATTGGTAAAGCCGTGTTCTTTCTAAAAGTTTATACATGTGTAGGAGGGAAAATTCTCGAGGAAATAGGAGACGGAAAGGAAATATTTTTGAAGAGCATTCTACCCTTTTCTATCCCTTCTCATGACCCATTTTGTTTTCGTCTAATTTACAGTGTTACATCGATTTTATTATTTCTTATTTTGAGAAATAGGACAGCAAAAACTTCTATCTTTTCAAGGTCAAGATTTTTATTTTCTTTCTATCACCGCACGTGGAACCTACATTCGTTACATTTTTTCAAGTCGTTAAAATGTTGACTTACTTTCTGCCGAAATCATTCATTCGTTTGAAATGGGAATTGCGTCGCAAAACTGTCGATTTTTTTTTGTTTACGTTCTTTTTGGGATAGTAACACCTATCTCATAAAACACTCTCATAAGGGAGAGAACGTAACTCAAATGTTATTTTATTCAGCGCACCTTGTGGTCATAGGAGTTTTGTTTGACTCTTCGACAAAATGCCAAAGAGCCAAACAAAGCCAATTAAGAATTTGAACCTAAAAATAATAATACCCAAGGAGAATAATTATTCTTTAAAGGGGGAATGCTGTTGGTGATTTACAAATTTTAAAAGCAACAAAGTAGTTTTATGATTTTCGGCGAATTGACATGATTTTAGCTTGACTTAAGCTCAATTTGAAGAAGATGGTCTCAGCACATGCATTTTGTTATAAAAAATAAATACCGAGAAAACATAATAAAAAATAAAGTAAACATTGTGGAAATCTGTATGATAAGAGGGCTATTTTCCAGCTTCCGTCTAAAATGGGCTGATGTTGGGGAAATATGAGCCTCCCCTCCCCCTTCACCCCCCTCTCCCCTCCTTCCCTCTCTCCCTCCCTCAGATTCATACTAACATTTATGTTATTGTAGGAATAAGGTCAAAATAACTAAATATACTTATTAGGGAACAAAAAAAAGAGAAGTTTTTTCTCGTCTTTTCTCCCTTAAAAGACTAGGTCTGAGACTCTGAAGCAAGGATAAAAATTGCTGAAAAGGCACCACCGGCTTAAAATTTGAATGCCGAAAGCTATAGTTTTTGACCACAAAACGGCAACGTTTGACCGGAGTTAAATCATTAACGTCGTGAATGGTCATTACTCATCAACAAGTTGCTTCGAGTGTGTAAGTGCAATAATGAGGTCAGCTTTCTTCTGTGGAACGGTGGTTGTCCGATGAGGGATGTGCGCAAGTAATTCTTTCGTTTACTTTCCGTCGCTGATTTTTTGTCGTTATAATGCACCCTACCACAGATGATTCGAGCAAAAAAAGAATTGGACGATCAGACGCTTTTAAAGACATTAAGTCTCATTAAGATGGTAGAGGTGATTTAATACATAATAAACTTCATCTTTTATTTTTTTCACACCCATCCCTCTTGTAAGACAACCATGGCATAGGGAACCTCCTTACAAACTAATGTACACTTAAGAAATCTTCCTCGTCTTCCTCAACTTTAAATAAGTCTTTTTGGGACTCCCTTAAATATATTCGGAAGATTTTTTATCTTCACCCCCATTTAGCTTTTCCTCTTGTGACGCAGCGAATACACAAGACATGTCGTCACGAACTGGTGGCTTTTGAAAAATTCCCCTCCCCCTTACTTTTCAATATTATTTTCGAGGCTTCTTTAAAAATGTGCCGAGCAGTTTTTATTTTCTAATTCATACATTTGATCTTCTTAACACGCTTCAATACTGAGCAGCACGTAGCGCATCGTGATTAAGCATTTGCCCCCCCCCCTCCCCCCCGGTCATGACATTCCGTGATATTTTTACACTCGCTTCATAGATTCAAATTCTTAATATCCCAAATGTAGTACTAGTAGTTTTATTGCTATTGAAGACAAAAGAGACAAAAATTCCGAGAGCAAAAATTATTTAAGTATTCGAAATTATTAAAAAAAAAAAAAACATATTGAAAGTGAAACCGCAAAAATGCGTATCTCGGTTGCGGTATCTTGAAATCTCCGTCTCTATTTTATTTTTTAAAAGAAACCCGAACCAACACTTTGGCTTGAAATTTTCACAGAATATCCTTTATAGAAAGAAAAAAATGCACTTAAATTTTCAAAAAAATGAAATTCAGTAGTTTTCCATGTAGAAAATGAAGTAAGCCAGGAAATCTGCAAACCGAGTTACGCGTTTGTGTAATTTCACCAGCGATATATTGCCCACACATCATGCTGTTCAATTTTTTGATTCTCCCACTGAAAAAAATTCTCTATTTGGATGCAGTGGAAAATGAGCGATTGCAATATTGACTCGATTCAGAATTACTCACTGAAATTGATGGTCTGAGCACTCCCATCCACGGCCGAAAAGATCGCGAAGAAGAGCAAAAACCCGAGACACAACTTGAATTTCCACGTCATTTTTCGAAAGAGCCCGAGCATGGCGCGCGCCGGGGTTGATGCGGCCACCAAGACTTCCGGTCCCGAAATCATAGTTCCGGGCGGCGCTTTTGTGTCCATCGGCGTTCCCCTGGCAACGCCTAAAGTTCAAACAAGCATCAATGTTTAAGCATTAACAAGTATCTCCCGCCGCGCCGGTGGTCACGAAAAGATGCGCCAATCGAAGGCGACAAAGTGACAGGCCGTTGTTTCGCCTCGCCGTACAGTGGATTGAATCAATGGAAATGGTCGGACACGATTTAGAAACTTTAAAAGCTCATAGCTCCGTTTATATGTCGCAGGCAATTAGCAACCGGCGGCAATTTGCAAGCGGCTCACACGTTGTTTCAATAAATCGCAGTAATGCGCATCGGCATAATGCAATTATTAAGGGTTATGGTCTTCAAAAGTATGAGCTAAGCTGAAAGGCCCTTCATTTTTTGTGATACTCTACATTTTGTCACTATGTTAGTTTAGTTGCCTATCCGATCTCAACCCAGCTAATGTTACGGAGTTCACTGCACGCTCTTCTATGTGCGCACATTTTTGCCTTGTTTTTAAGGATGGAAAAGCGTCTATTCACATTATAGGCAACATAATCAGCACTCTAATCGTGTTATTTTATTTTTGAATTTAATGGTTTTCTACGTTTATTTACTACTGGCTTGTAAATTGCCTGCGATTGCCAATTGCCTGCGACATATACAAAACTTTGAGGGTTTAAAAGTGGTTCCATTCGTTTCCTCGTGAAATTTTCTTTTAGAAACATCCCTTAAAATTTAGAATGAGACGAATTGAACATAAAAATTTGCATTCTTAGTTAAAAATTTCATGACCAACTTCTCCGATTGACTCGATCCACTGTGCGCCATTGTGCTTCAGCCCTACCTGTCGATCATCGTTTATTTGTCGACCCTTTCGAGTTTTCCTCCATGTGCGATTCTTCGGCGTGAAGCCGTGGATATCACTTGAATATCTCGAGGGGGTGTGAGAGGGCGAGGGGTAGGTGTGGGGAGAAAACTCGGAATCGACGTGGATAATGATGAATTAATACGTGAATATTTATTTCCTGTTTTCTGGAAAACGCGAGAAGGAAAACAACACAAAATCAATAGGAGTTAAACCTCAAGGTTTTCTCAATCATGAATTTGTCCCTGTTTTTTATTTTTTTGCTTATTAGTAAAATTTTTATTAAATTTTAATCAGATTTTTAGTTTATTGCTTCGGGGGATATTTTTACGAAAATATTTCTTTCTTGTATTCTAGAAAAAGCGTAAACATTCCGCGATTTCCACATGATTCAAACTTCAAGGTTTACTCAATTTTTATGAATTTTCTCCTGTTTCCCTCCTCACAAATATGCTCTAATATTGTCATATTTTATTTTCAATTCGTGCTGAGATGTCCCAGATAAATAACTGACCTTATTAAATGATAGTTTCATTATTTTACCACTTTTTTTTATTACGTGAGGACACTTTTTCGCTCCGCACACTCGGCTGAATCACCTCATGAATAAACATAAAACAAGGATTTATAATCGACTGCTTTGTTTTAGTACCTGGCCATGAATACCATGATTAAACTATGCTTTACTTACGCTTTTTAATGACACGCATTCCGGAAAAGAGAAGGAGAAACAGATTTAGGTTTCCCCTTCCCCCCAGAAACAGGGAAAGTTTTTTTTCCTGAAGCGCTATCAGATTTTTTAAACCCAGATTTTGATAACGCAACCTTAGATTTTTTTTTTGCATTCTTGAATACATTTGAAGATGAAAATTTTCTCTCCCGACTACTGCTTGATTCGCTTCGGTATTCGGCGAAAAAAGTCTTGGACAGGTGTGTCTTGATTAATTGGAATCGAATTTAACATGTACATTCATTTCATTCATATTCTTGCACATAACAAATCGCTTGCAACCCACACGGAAATCCACCCACCTACCATCCAGTACCTATTGGGTTTTTTTTCATTTATCCTTTAAAAACGACTGATGCGGGTTTTTGACCGGTAAATATAGGGTTACCCAACATCAATGAAAAGATACAAAAAATCAATTCTGAATATTAAAAGAGGACTATTTTTTTGTGGTATATACATAACAATTTTTCAAAACCGCTCTCCCACCGTGACATACATACATTACGTCAATCAAAATATTATTCCATATTTTAAAGGTCACAGATCAGTTGAGCGGGAAAATGATTTTAGTTTAGTTAGACTTATTAGTGGCATTGAAAAACTTTTTTCTAAGATTCTGAGACTGTTTCCGACCAGTGGCGTGGCGCACTTTGCGATATATCAATTGATCTGCCATTTTAACCTATGGAAAAGGATCGATTAAAAGAATGTTTGCAACACCTAATAATCGATTTTTTAACATAGCTTCAAATGGAGAAATATCAAAAATCTATCATTCGCGCCTCGCCACTGTTTCTGACTAAATTCTATGATTCCTGTAAGAGAGTCTCATTTTGACCCAAGGAATTTTCTCAAAATCTTCGAAATTAAATGCGGTGAATCATTCTGTATGTGTGTGATTAGTTTGACGACTCGATAAATTAGCGCTCAATATACGATTCGGAATCAATCAATCAAGAAACAGAAGGTAAAGTGAAACACTGTACTCATTGTCAGCGTTGTGGCTTCCCACGTAGCGTCTTCAGATCGATTTTTATTTCCCTGTTTTATCCTAATTTATTACTCTGTTCCTTGGTCGTTTCCTTTTTTAGTTCTAGATCTCAGACGCATGAACGAACTTGGATACCTGAAACTCCTTTATACTCCTCTCAGAATACTAATTTATCCAGCGAGGATTTGCTGATATATTTCTCAGTGCAAATTTAGAATTAGCATTTTGCCACACGTCGAAAAACCTGTTGTTCGCCGTGGTTAGCAAAAACCACGTATGAAAGTAAGATCTCTATCAGAACTTACGTGGTTCTGAGTTATCGGGATGCTATTCTTGGCAACACCGTGCTTCCCTCACATCTCTGCTTATCATTTAGAGCGCGTGTTATTATTGTCAGTTGCAATCACTCGATACTGACAACCGGGCGAATCTGAACCCGCTCTGATCACGTTCAAACCGTTAGTTTTTTCTTAATTTTAATTGTTATCTTCAGTTCACCTGCTCAATTATGGCAAAAATGTGTCTTCAAGGAAGTGGTGTCATGTGTGTTTAGTTGGTCAACGTCATATTAGTTCCTTTTTTCTCGTTGAGTGATTCATTTTGGACTCCTGGATTGAATAAACATCGATATGCTCGACTACACGCTTTTACCACGTGTAAATTGCAGTGAAATAATGTAGGTGAGTGGTTTTGGAAATAAAAAAGAAAAAAAATCTGGGAGTCAGACAATTTCGCATTTTTCCAGGTTAAAAATATAAAATGACCACCAAAACATACTTATTTTATTGATTTCAAAAATACATTTTAACATAAATTATGTGCATTATAGAATTAACCTGAGGACGATATTAGAAAGTAATCTTTGGAGAATTCCAAACATAAAAATGTATTTAAACTTTGACAATCACTGCCGATGGTATGCATAGATTGGTGCCATTTCCACAAGTCAAAAACTGCCTTTATAAAATTGAAATTTTAGACTGCTCGTGCACTTTATACGGTGTGCACTGAATTTTAAATTTCAGCCTTATTTTTAATAGTGTTAAAAGGGTCGATTTTCGCAAAAATTAGGAAGACTATGATCAATTTGACGATGCCGTGGAATTATTTCAGGAGAGAAATGTCTGCGTCAGATTTTGGCATAGGGATAGAGATAGTGATAGTGATAGATAGGGCATCGATCGTGACCTAGTGCGGTGGCGACAGGGGCAAAGAATGCCTCGATAGAATTTTCGAATTTTGTTATTTAAGATTCGTCTCTGCTTAGCAAAACAATCTCATGAGTAGGTATAACATGAAAATAGTCAAAAGGTCATTTTGCATCGTTCAAAAACACAGAGGAGGAGGATTTCAAACTTGCATCTGTCCTGGATGTTCAAGGGCCAAATAGAAAGGGATCAGACGTCGCATACGTTGCGTTACTGATCATTTCCCGCGAAATCAGCTACAATGCGGTTCGTTGAAATACGCTTAATCTTCCTAACAAATTCTCCAGAAACCCTCCTACAAATTGGCATCAAAGGGCAATTTTTTAGACAATTTGACGTATTTATGCTAAAAGGAACTATCTGCACAGAATTTGCGCCCAACATAGTTCCTTTTAGCACGAATACGTCCAATCGACATAGTCATAACTTGGCATCGTAGAATCATTAAATACCTACCACCAACTCACTTAATAGATCATGCCTGCGACGACAGCTTGTAATTTTATCATCACGTGATCAAGTCTAGTAATATGCAAATTTCGTCTTCATTTTGTGCGCAAATTATGCAAGTCGTAAAGTTTTGTTTTCATTCTATAGTTTGATCCAATAAATCAAAGACACTCTAAAGTTTTCACAGGAAGACACAGAAAAAACATTAGCATAATATGTCAAGGGCGTGAGCTCGAATTGGTTGACATATTTTGTATTATTTGGCTCAACTAAGATTGCAGCTTAGCGTCACATTATCTTACTGTATCACGTCCTATTGAATAATAGTGTTTCATTTCGATAGGGTCACAAGTCGCTCATGAAAAAAAGGGTTTAAACTAAAGCCGTATTATTGTGGTAGCACATTTCATGAGTGTGAATTTTACTCTGCGGCAGATTTCCAATTGGTCAGTGGGGCTTACAATACGTTTAATAATAATAATGAAAAAAAAACTTTCGGCTTGTAAATTCAATAATTTTAAAACGAAATTATTATTTTTTTCTTAATATACAATATGCATATAGAAATTGTCATATATTTAAAAGTTAAATGAAAAATTGTATATAATCATATTTGTTGAGAGGGTCAAGTGGGAGAATAAAAGTGCTTTCACAGCCAGCTATCTTTTTTGGCTCGTCAAAACATCATTAGAATAGTCACTTATGAATTTCGTCTCTAATCTGTGGAAGAAATTTGTTGAAGTGAGCTTATCTAAATTTAAGTGGGTTAATAGAAGCATCCTCGTGGTCGTGATCGATTTACAACGAGAGCACTCAAATCTCAGACCGGTAGCTTTAAGCTATCTGAATTTCAACGAGTGTTCAGCGGCAATCTTGAGGCTCTATTATCGTTTTGAGTTTTTCAGTAAAGTCGTATCTGCAATCTACCTTGCGCTCTGTCCATGCAAGAATTCCTACGAATTCTAATGCTTATATTGCAATACAAATAAGACTCAGTCCTGATGAACAGCTGATACTCTAATTGTTAAGATGTTGATAAAAGACCGAGATTGAATTCTACATCAAAAATATCCTGAGTTCAGCTCTCTTCACAATATAATCGGCGTGTGGACTTATGAGGCGGAGGGGGAGGCTTATAATAAAGGACAATTTTATGAAGAATTTAAGGAGAAATTTGTAAAATTGCATTTTGCGTTTCTTTAAATACACCCGTCACATAAGTGTTATTTGTTTATTTTTTAGACATGTACCCAAAATGTGAAGAATATCGCAATTACATAACAATTTTTCAAGGATATTGCTAATTTTTGCAACTGAGACAACGGGCAATCTTCCAGTTTATTGATTTAAATATGCGTGAATAAGTTGTGTTACACTCTGCAGAATTCACTATTCCTTTGACGCTGCGTGTAAAGATAACGGAGCTCTCATATACTTTCTAAAATGATCTTTTTCCTCTTTATTTCTCCATGGCTTTTATTTTCTTGAGCCCAATTGCATTTGTCTATTAAATGCTCAATTTCGCGTAAAAGTAAATTCATCGTTCTGTTTTAATTTCAAATAATTTTTGAGGTATTCTTGTTTTCCAGTGCTCACATTCTCACATAAAAAATCACGAATCACAATTTTTTTTATTTAAAAATGTATATTATTTGTAGGATTTACGGCAGGGTCCAATCAAAATATTTTTAAGTCTATAACCTATCTGCATCTTTGTGATGTAAAAAAACCGTGTGCAGTAACCTTAGTAACAATAACGCTCCTCTTTTGCTCAACTTTTATGAATGGATCGTGCTCGATAGTGGTTCGATGTATCGTTTGGTTTAAAACAATAGAACATAACCTCGAGCCGAAATTTTAAGATATTTGTCAGAAAAGCTGAAAATGAGAGGTTTCATAGCAATTTTACTCCCCTTGGCCGATTAGTACTCCTACGAATTAAAAATCCATCACAAAAAACCCGTTCCGTCAGATTACTCAATTGACTTTTGAGATTATGTTTATGTTTTGAACCAATCGATATCGATACAACCTCACCTGTTCGATGTATCGAATACGATCTACACAACTCCGAGCCACCAAGGACAACATGCTTTAACCGCCAAGCGTCTGTTAAGACGTGCCACGCAATGAGATCAATTCCAAAGGACACAACTATTTCGACACGTATACAGCTGTTTTTGCCTAGCCATTGAAATGAAGGCGAACCATGTTCCGTGTCAGAGAGAATGGTTCCAAGTTCAAGTGAGCGCTTGAGTGCAATTCGCCTTCATCTCAGCCAATAGGCAAAAACAGCTCCTGCGCGTTAAATTAGTGGTATCCTCAGAGTTGACTTGCTAGACTGATTATCTACTTTCATCAAAACACACTCTAACATTTCGAGCGTTACATTCATCGTCAAGAGAGGGATTTTTTGTGGTTTTTGAGCTTGAGTCGTTACTATATTGGTATGTCAAGATTCTTGGTGATTTATGTGTGTATGCAACTTTACGATTTATGTGTGATTAGAGAGGAAACTGTTTGAGGGAAATCAGTTTCTTTCTTTCCTTTTTTCCCTCAATTTGAATTAAAGGATGATATGATCGAAACGGCAATCGGTATGCAGTTTTGTGTGACTTATTATCAAGACATCTCAATTTCCTACATTCATTGAATGATATATTCAAGTAAAATTGGGAAAGTGTTGCTTTAAAAGCAATTTTTTCCACTTCCGAAACTAACTAATCTATATTGTTGTTTCAGGACCCGATGCCGAAGTTTTAGACGGAAAAGTGTCTTATCAATCTAGTTGATATCCATTTACCAGCTAACGTTTCACCTGCGTTCTGCATCCTAAATTCGCAATAAATGAACTAAGGAGAGGAATATGACGCAAACATGATTCTTGGCAAATATGGAATTCTATTAGAATACCCCAAAGAATCAAATTGGAAATGTATCTCTTGCCATGCTCGATGATGATTTCAATTTTTTAAGACATCATTTTATCTAGAGCCTGAACGTTAGAGGTCAAAAAAGATCTGGTAAGTTTAATAGTTCCAGTGCGACCGTACAATGCTGTGCATACTAAGGATTAATCTTAATTTTGCGACAAGCGTTAGTTATATGTGATCGTGATGGACTGAAAATACAAAACACATTACATATTTTAGCGCGGTTTATTAAGACATGATATAGAAGTGCAATAACCGAAGAAAGTAAAGGGGTTTCTCATTATGGTGACTCCTTCTTACCTATTTCAATCCAACTTATCTTAAAGTAAAATCTCGACGTCACATCAATTTGATTAAAAAAGACATCGGAACACTTTGATATCCCGTCTATTTAAGATGGCCAGCTTGATTTTCAGTGCCCGTTTTGGTAGTGAAATTAGGAATCAACCCATCAAATAGTCGAAGGCTAAATTTCATTTCAATATGTCAAGTTTACGCAATTTCTCATTAATTTGTCTGATTTTATTTACCCTCTTCCCATGTTTATTTTCATATGGACTGAGAAAAGGCTTCGCGCAAAATACTGTTTAAGCATTGAGTGCACGCTTCACATGGGCTACTTTTCGCAATCAATTACTGCAATCTAAGGCTCATCCATAAGAACACTTAAGTTCGTAGGGAAACTAATGGTACATGCGTTGTTTTGAACTGAGCCAGAAATCGTGGCTCCCAATAATTGCAAAATGCCCCCTTCCAGGCGGCAATATACCACAAGCGTCATTACTCATTTGAACCCAGGCGCCATGCTGCACACCATTCAGAAAATGTATATGCTATTTCTGAAATTGCTATCACATGGAATCATTCAAGAATCGTACAAAAAATATTTCTTTCAAAGTCAAAATTCATACTTGGAATTTTTATAAAGGTGCATTCAAATATTTTAAGAAAAAATGAAAACAATTCGAGTAAAGTAATACCTCTACCAAGCTCAAATGGTGCTTAAGATATCCTGTCTGAGACTGATCAATTTTTTTATTTATTTTTATTATATTTTTTTTTTTATACTAAACAGTATGCTTTTTGCTTTTTATGCAGAGAAATACCCTAGGTCATTGAATTGAAATATCCGAAAGATGTCAAACGATATTACAAAATGTTACCAGCCGGTTTTGAACAACTTAATTTCGCCGGAACGAACGGTTTTGGTGTTGTACACAGGTGGAACTATTGGAATGCTGCGTAATGAAGACGGTGGTACGTAGCACAAAAAATTACTCCTAATATTTATCTGTATTGTTTCAATACTGAATACACTATTTTCATGCATAAGTTTTTATGTAATACGGGAAAAATTGTCACGAAAGAGGAAGATTTCAATTATTAATGCGTTTTCTTCCTGAATATTTGAAATTTAAGTCTTCGTCAGAGAATTGGACGAAATGACAATTATCTCGGCTAAAAATGAGGACTAAGAGGGCATCCTCCTCACTGACAAAAAAATTCGCTTCAATCTAGAGTCCAGACTCTTGATAACATTGACAAGAAAAAATACTCCACATTCAATCCGATTTTTCCTTGAATCGAAGAGTCGAGCCTCTTGATATAGGCAGATTTCTTTTTGATTCAAGCAAAAAGTCCGATTGAATCAAGAGTAATTTTTCTTTTCGATGTTTTTAAGAGTCTGGACTCAAGCGACTCCTTTCCAGTAGAAGTATGCTTTAAATTTTGGTTTATATTGAACACCAAACTTTTTCGGTTCAGGTAATCGAATTTTTGTTCACAGAAATCAAACTTTGGTTCCTACGGCTGAAAAATTGAGTCACCTGAACCAAATGCGCATTCTTACTTCGGTCGATTTAACCGAGACGCGCCAAAGTTGCATCGAGTCGGAACGGAGAAAAATAGGTTTGAAGCAATGGCGTGGCGTGCTTTGCGATATATCGATTGATCTGCCGTTTCAACCAATAGAAATGGATCGATAAATAGGGTGCTCGCAACAAACACCTTAATAATCAATTCTTTACCATGGCTTCGCATCGGGAAATATTGATAGTCAATCATTCACGCCCCGCCACTGGTTTGAAGTTGCGTACTGCCATGAGATTCTATGTTAAGGACATATGGACCACTAGATAAGGTACGAATTTCAGCATTCTGATACGTGTTTCTTAACCAAAATTTTACGTAAAACACGATGCACACAACGAAAATTACCGAAATTAACTCCTTCCGAAGATATTTAATAATTCTTAATGCTTGAATTCAAACCACCCGCTCATGAAAACACAATGCTCTACGTGATTCACATCGCGCGCTAAACGTTATCATGACAGTCTCTGCGATATAAAAATCTGGCAACCTTAATCTTGACGCTTTGGCTCAGTTATAGCAAATTGCTAATAGTTTGAACAACACATGATGGGAAATGAACATTGCTCGATTGAGAAGCTTGCTGAAACCGTTGTAGTGGGCGATTTGACTCACGTAGAGTTTTGAGTTTCTTGTGAGCGGGCAGTTCAAATTCCTCGTAACCAATGTGAAATAAAAACGTTAATATCTTCGTTAGGAGTTGGTTTCCGTAATTTTCGTTGTGTGAATCGTTTTCCACGTGAAATTCTGGTTAAGAAACATGTATCAGATCGCTTAAATTCGTACCTTGTCTAGTGGTCCATTTTAAAGACTGTCTTAACGTTCAATATATCGACGGTAAAACTAACAGACCACGTATCTCGTTTGCGGTGTTTAAAAATCTCCACTCACATTTTATTTTTTTGAAGAAGATCAAATTCATATCATTCCTTATGATTTTCACAGATTTTTCTCCGCATCAAGAGGAAAAATCACGGAAGTTTTCACGAATTGACGTTGAGTAGTTTTCCATTTATAAAATAAAGTTTGACAGGAAGTCTGCGACGTCGCAAACCGAGATACGTGGTTTGGTAGTTTCACCGTCGATATTTTTTCTGAACCGTGAATTTTAGACGGGAGAAAATTCACGACAAGTTTAATTCAAAGCTGTCCCCACCTCATTTTCCTCTAAAATGCAACTTGGTGAGTTCTTACTAGATTTAGTCCGCCTGTACAACTTATAATAGTGAGACAGGAGCAGCAAGCTGGATGTATCAGCATAATTCAACGAACAGTTCGTGTTTCAATTTCTTTCGGATCTCATGTCAATTACAAATTGGCTACAACTTTTAATCTTAATTTTCAGCTTTAGCTCCCGTACGCGGTGCTCTTACAAAGAAGATTAGACTTCAACCTCAATTGCACGATGCTGAATTTGCTAAGAAGAAATTGGGAAAATATGCCGAGAAAGGACCTTGTGTTCTACCGTAAGTTTCCCAACAATTCTCATCACCTCATCTCTCATCCAGGGGTTTCTTAGTTCAGACAACATAACTTTTTCTGGAGGGGTAAATGAAAAATAAAGGCAGTTTTTTTTTTTTTTTTTTTTTTNTTTTTTTTTTTTTTTTTTTTTTTTTTTTTTTTTTTTTTTTTTTTTTTTTTTTTGAGTTTTGCGGCTTCTATTCCTTTGTATTATTTTGATAGGAATCTACAGCCAGAGGCAATAAATGAATGACCGAAAGTGGGTACAGTAGACTCCGGATTATCCGGTTTCGTATTATCCGGATCGATTTTGCAACCATTTAACTACGTACGCATGTACGGTATGTACATGATGTATACATAATAAGAATACTGTGGTGTTGGTTGGTGGTGTTTGTGTTTCCTATTATTATCCGGATTTTTTTTCATCCGGGTCGGGCCCGGCACCAATTGATCCGGATAATCCGGAGTCTACTGTATATGATAGAGAAAACTGCAAAACTCCGATCATGCATTATATACAAATAATGAAAAGGTGTGATAAGTTCATAAATGGTATAAGCCCCTGAATAATATGCTTATTTTATTTTTCATGACACTAAAAGTCAGAAACTGAGTATTCTGAGGGCATCATCGATATATCAGAAAAATCAGAAAAGAGTGATCTTTCTCTACTGATGTATGGGCAACAAAGTGTAATCGAAGCTCCACATCGAAAAGGTGATCAATGCTGAGGAGATCTAAAATAACAGTTCCGCGCGTGTATAAAACATTTTGTAGCCCTATGTAGCGTCCAAAATGAGAAATGGAGTTTCAAAAATTGATGCAATTTACATATTAGAATGAATGAGGCTGCTGCGCTTTTGTTCCGAAATGAGTAAATTGGAGTTGGGTACTTTTCATTTACTATGCGGTTTTTAAATGAAGATTACAATTAAATTAATGCAAGAGATAGTCCAAGAGCCAGACGACTTTGAGTGACAAACTCGGGATACATGTTTTGACCCCCTAAATCGATAGCCTTGCATACACTGAAACGGAAAATTTTTGTCTGCCGCCCTCTAGCCTGTGCCATCACCCTCATCTAGGCCCTCAAAGTGGTCCAAAAAACACCATCTGGTGACAAACTCCTGACGCTCGGCAGACAAGTCTATTATTAAAGATCATACCCAGGGTGACTAGAAAAACTTTGTCTGCCGCC